ATTACACAGGTGAGGAAACTGAGGAGGGAGCGGGACTCGGCCATTGAGGAGCACTACTTCATGGAGGGAGAGGCTGAGAAGTAAGCTTCCGTGCAGCCTGGGCTTATCCGCCCTGACTCTTCCCAGGAGAGAGGTAGCATCGGATTCAGAAAAGAGCTTAGAGGGCCGGCGCCGCGGCTCACTAGGCTAATCCTCCGCCTAGCGGCGCCGGCACACCGGGTTCTAGTCCCGGTAGGGGCTCCGGATTCTGTCCCGGTTGCCCCTCTTCCAGGCCAGCCCTCTGCTGTGGCCAGGGAGTGCAGTGGAGGATGGCCCAGGTGCTTGGGCCCTGCACCCCATGGGAGACCAGGAAAAGCACCTGGCTCCTGGCTCCTGCCATCGGATCAGCGCGGTGCGCCGGCTGCAGCGCGCCAACCGCGGCGGCCATTGGAGGGTGAACCAATGGCAAAGGAAGACCTTTCTCTCTGTCTCTCTCTCTCACTGTCCACTCTGCCTGTCAAAAAAAAAAAAAAAAAGAAAAAAAAAAAGAAAAGAGCTTAGAGCCATCTCTCCAGCTTCGTCTCCAGGCAGGCAGGAGAGGGGAGGGATGCATTTGAAGCTGTACAGCTGACCGGGTTGAATGAAGGCTTTTTTTTTTTTTTTTTGGTAAAGATTTATTTATTTTATTTGAAAGAGCTACACAGAGAGACAGAGAGAGAGAGAGAGAATCTTCCATCTGCTGGTTCACTCCCCAGTTGGCCTCACCGGCCGGAGCTGCACCAATCCAAAGCCAGGAGCCAGGAGCTTCTTCAGGTCTCCCACGTGGGTGCAGGAGCCCAACCACTTGGGTCATCTTCTACTTGCTTTCCCAGGCCACAGTAGAGAGCTGGATGGGAAGTGGAGCAGCCAGGTCTTGAACCGGTGCCCATGTGGGATGCCTTCAGGCCAGAGCGTCAACCCTCTGCGCCACAGCGCCGGCCCCAGATGGAGGCTTCTTAACTGCAGTAGGTCCTTCCTGCTCAGTAGCGCTTGTCAGACATCTGTTGTCCACTTGCTGTTTGCTCAGAGGTGTACTGCGGGCAGTGGTTTCTCCATGTGTGCCTGTGGGAAGTTCATACTAGCTCCAAGTGTCTACTGCAAGCTGGAGCCCAGGTGCAAAACACTTTGCTTACATTATCTCGTCTAGTGGGTGCTGTTGCTTCTTCGAGGGTCTCTTAGCTATGGTTGACAAGCAGCACCGCTGGGAATCACACCAGGTATTTGGAATCCAGCGGCTACTGAATGATGAATAGAGGCAGCTTTACTTACTTGATTGTTATTTAAAAGATTTATTTATTTATTTGAAAGGCAGAGTTACAGAGAGAGAGAGAGATCTACCATCTGCTGGTTCACTTCCCAGACTGCCTCAATGGCTGGGTCAGGCCTAAGCCAGGAGCCGGGAGCTCCATGTGAGTCTCCGTCACGGGTGGCAGGGGCCCAAGGACTTGGGCCATGTTCTGCTGCTTTTCCCAGCAGGAAGCTGGAACAGAAGTGGAGCAGCCAGAATGTGAACTGGTGTCCATATGGGATGCTGGTGCCACAGGCAGTAGCTTAGCCCACGGAGCCACTGCGCTGGCCCCAACTTTAGTTATTTATTTTAAGGATTTAATTATCTGAAAGGCAGAGTTATACAGTGAGAGAGGTCATCCATCCGCTGGATCACTCCCCAAATGGCCACAATGGCCAGAGCTGGGCCAGGAGCCTAGAACTCTGTCCCGGTTTCCCATGTGGGTGCAGGGGCCCAAGAACTTGGGCCATCTGTTGCTTTCCCAGGCACATCAGCGGGGAGCTAGATCGAAAGTGGAACAGCTGGGACTTGAATCAGCAGCACCTGTATGGGACAATGGCATCACAGGCAGTGGCTTACCCCACTGCACCACGACGCCAGGCCAAGAGACAGTGGCCTGTAAAGAAGTACCAAATGAGGATTATAAATGGGAAGAGTGGACATGCTGCCAAAGCATCATGGGGAAAATTGTTAGACCTGGAGGGCAAAGCTGTTGTTTTTTGAGTCCTTCGACTATACTAGGCACAGCCTCTCCTGCTTAAAAAAAATTTTTTTTTAAAGGTTTATTTCATTTATTTGAATGAGTTACAGAGAGGGGGGTGAATACAGATGGAGAGGGATCTTCCATCTACCGATTCACTCCCCGAGTGACCTCAATGGGCAGGGCTGGGCCAGAGGGAAGCCAAGGAAGCAGGAGCTTCTTCCAGGTCTCCCACATGGGTGCAGGGGTCCAGGCACTTGGGCCATCTTTTGCTGCTTTCCCAGGTGCATCAGAAGGGAGTTGGATTGGAAGTGGAGCAGCCAGGACTCAAGCCAGCACCCATATGGGATGCTGGTGTCATAGGCGGCGGCTTAACCCGCTTAACCACAGCACCCCCCCCCCCCCCCACCTCCTGGCTATAATTGTTTTGGGGCCAGCCTTGTGGCACAGTGGGTTAAGTGCTCACTTCTAATTCACCTTCCTGCTAATGTGCCTGGGAAGACAGAGGAAGATGGGCCAAGTACTTGGCCACCCACTTGAGAGACACAGATGGAGTTCTTGGCTCCTGGCTTTGGCCTGACCCAGACCCAGCAGTTGGGGCCATGTGGGGAGTGAACTAGCCTATGAAAGATCTCTCTGTCTTTTCTTCTCTGTCACGCTGCCTGTCAAATAAATAAATAAAATTTCTAAAAAAAAAAAAAAATAGGAATTGTTTCATATTCCTACAGCTTCCCTGTGAGGTGGGTGTTATCCTTGTTGTACATGTAAGGAGTCCATGCTTAAAGAGATTGAACAGTGGCTCCAAAGTCACAGGTGCAGGGAGTTAGCTTGGGATTAGCAAAGAGGAGAGAGGGCTTTCCAGGCTGGCGGTGGGAGCAGAGGATTTCAGGGGAGAGGCTGAGACCGTGCTGGAAGGGTGGGCGGACAGACGGCAGGAGTGCTCCCTTTCGGGGGGTTTTCCTGTGGGTCCTGGGAGGCAGGGGTGTGGGTTACGTCACCCACCTCAGGTGTCATCCCATGTCTCCTCTGGTGGCAGTACAGTCAGGGGACGGCGTGACAGCTTCAGAATTTCTGCCTCCTGTTGCTCTTTTGACTCTGGAGTTTTCTTTCTCGGGTCTGTTAGCACCTCTCTTTGCTCTGTCTAAAAATTATTCCAGAAAGTTTTGAATGTTATTTTTAAAGCTGTGTATCACTTGAAGGATATGTGACAAGAAAGGTGGCTGCTAAAAGTCCCACCCAAGTTATTATAGAAGTTAAGCAGCAGGTAAGTGTACGCACTTCCTCAAAAGTCGAGATGATTCTAGTGGGCTGTGGAAGAGCACAGAACGTGGCCCCAGATAGGAAGGTTTCTAGTTTCAGCTTTGCCTTTCCGCTTCTGTGTTCTTGGGCACATCTCTGACCTTCATTCCTCTCCTGGAAAATTGGGGTAACGGGGTGCCTGCTCTACCTCTGTCTGGACTGCCGTAGGGACCAGATGAGCCTGTGTAACGAGGAGAGCGCGTTGCTGTGTAGCAGAGGAAATGCTTCATAAACGTGGCCGGTTAGGATGGCGTCGGCAACAGCAGCAAGCCAGACCCTGACAGGTACTCGTACTCAGCAAGTGGCAGCTTGTAGAAAGCCGACACCGAGATTTAATCTGCCCTCCTTGCTGTCCAAGTGGGCGGCAGAGAAAGTACTTTGTGTCATACTTGGTTTTCTCCTACCTTGGACCAGAGATACAGTACGAACAGTAAACATGACGCCGGCCCCTGCAAAGTGCCAAGCTTGTGCAGGCCCTAGCACTTAACACAGAGGTGCACTGCATCCTCCGGATGGCCTTGCAAAGTGGGCCCTGCTATTTACAGTTAGGAAGCGGCAGCTCAGAGACGTTAAGTGACTTGCCCAAGGTCACAGATTGTTAAGAGGTAAAGTTGGATTTGAACCAAAGTCTGCAGACTATAAATTTAGCTGCCTTACCGCAGTTGTCTCCCTGTTACTATCTTTTCCCTTCGTAGTATTTTATAAGCCGGTGGATTAAGTTGGTAGTAATTTTAGTACAGCTGGCAGCTGGTTGCTTAGTGCCGAGTCATTGTTGCCTCTCTCTGTCCTTAATAGGCCAAGAAACCTACTATGGCAATGCTTGTGACTTGTCTGGCGTCCGCACCAGCCTGCTTGTCCGTGGGCAGAGCCCAGCGGCAGGGAGGGGAAGGAGCAGGGGAGTGGGCCGGCTCCCAGGACAGGGATGTACTGAGCACTACCGCCACTCCTGATCCCGGCAGGTGCTGTGTGGATTCGAGCGTGTGTTGGCTGAAAAGACTCAGCACTGTTTTTTTCCTTTTGTCTTCCAGCCCGGCTTTCGAAAACATCTGGGCCTGCTAGAGAAAAAGAAAGATTACAAACTCCGCGCCGAGTAAGTCCAGTCTTCTAGTGGAGGTGCTGCAGCCGCAGTGCCTGGGAGTGCAGCAGGGGCGAGCTTCCTGCCACCCACGGGACGACCCAAGCATGCTGCGTGTGACCCTGCACTTCTCTTTATTGAGGCAGAGCATTATGTATTTACCTGCAGTTGCACTGTGAATATTTGTATTCTATTATGTTACTCCTGAGCATTTTCTCACAGTGAGTTTCATTTGCCTTGGGATTTGAACCAAATATGAATCTTTTTTCTCCTTTTCTGAAAGTGCAAGATAAAATCTAAAGTTCCATCTGTTGAGTCTCTTGCATCATCATGTGAGTGGTGGAGAATGAAGAGATGTGAAAGATGGATTCATGCGCCTGAGCGTGGGTGATGATGAACTCTGAAAACATTTTGGAAAACAATTATCCCCATTCTTCTGTTTCTTTAGCACTTTATTTGCAGAATACTTTATAAAAATTTTTTTTTTTGTAATCCATATGTGTCAGCTGAGGTCCTTCTTATGCTCTTAGTACAGATGGTAGCAATAGATTATGTGGATTTCTGTAGGACCCAGATTTTCATTTTGTTTTTAAAGATTTATTTATAATTTATTTGAAAGGCAGAGAGGAGAGAGAGAGAGGGAGAGACACATATTCCACCCTCTGGTTTGCTCCCCAAATGGCTGCAACAGCCAGAGCTGGGCCAGCTCAAAGCCAGGAGGCTGGAACTCCATCCAGGTCTCCCACATGGGTGCACTTAGACACAAGCACTTGGGCCATCTTCTGCTACTTTCCCAGACACATTAGCTGGGAGCTGGATCGGAAGTGGAACAGCTGGGACTCTAACAGGCGCCCATGTGGGATGTTGGTGTCACAGGCAACACCGGCCCCAGCCCCAGAGCTTTTAAGGCTAATAATAATAACTGGGTGCTCTTGCTGGGCCAGGCGGTGTTCTAGGGAGTTACAGATTTGATACTCACTCACTCCTCCCAGCAGCCTTCTGGGGTCAGTTATTCTTACAGCCATTTTACAGTTGGCATCTAGAGGGCACTTAGCCAGGAGTGGTGGAGTCCACGTGTGAACCCAGGTGCGGTGGCTCCAGAGCCCCTGGTCCTGGCCACGTGCTGCCCTGCACATGGAGCTGCTGAATCTTGTTTGATCGCTGGTGCCCAGGCCTGCACCACACCTCTGGCCAAGGAGTTTCAATTTGCGCTTTGTTTGGTGTCTCCCTGTAATGATAGAAGAGGCATTGAAACCTGTGGGATGGGGACAGTTAATTTCAGGCACACTTGGGATAGGAGAGGACTCTTAGATTGTGGACCTTCCATAGAAGTGAGTCCAGTTCAGTGACAGTGGAGTGTGGATCACATTCAGTCACTGCTGTTTCGTTTTTGAGCTTCTTTTTGTGTGAACTTTTAGGTGCCTGTAAAATGTGCTCGTTTTTCCCCCCTGCAATCAACCTCATTTAACCTCTTTTTAGTGACTACCACAAAAAACAAGAATACCTCAGAGCTCTCCGGAAGAAGGCGCTTGAAAAAAATCCAGATGAATTTTACTATAAAATGACGCGTGTTAAACTCCAGGTGGGTACCTAATGGATCAGTGGGTGTTTTCAGCTCCAGCTGTTGGAATATAAGGGCAGGGGAGGAGGTGGGGGGAGGAATCCTGGGCTTTAATCTAGCCCTTCTCCGTTCAGTCCAGGTGCCCTTGGTCAGCATCCACGCGGCATGCATTTCTGCAGAATCTGAACTGTCTCACGTCTGGAGCTTTTCTAAGAGTGGGTGGCTGGGGGTACACTGAGCCTGCACCTCCAGGGCCTCGTGCCCTGTTAGCACACACCTTCTGGTTGTCTTTTTTCTCACCATGAGCTCTGCCAACAAGTTAGATAAAGACTTTAATCTAAAAGGCAATGTATCTTTTAAATTTACATTCTAGGATGGAGTTCATGTTATTAAGGAGACGAAGGAAGAAGTAACTCCAGAACAGCTAAAGCTGATGAGAACTCAAGATGTCAAATATATAGAAATGAAAAGGGTTGCAGAAGCTAAGGTAACAGTTAACTCTTTGTTCTGAGTTGGCTTATGTTGGTTAAGAAAAGACACATAAACCCATCATTCTCAATTTTTCAGATAATTTCTTCTGACAGTTTCAGTTTTTAGGTATGTATGATTGTGAAAATCATCTAGAATTGTAGTCAGCCTGGTGGCTGGTGTGGTGCAGTAGGTGAAGCTGCCGCTCGGGACGCCAGCATCCCATATCAGAACGCTGGTTTGAGTCCCAGCTGCTCTGCTTCTGATCCAGTTCCCTGCTTATGTGCCTGGGAAGGCAATAGGTGATGGCCTATGTGCTTGGGCCCCTGCCATCTGTGTGGGAGGCTACGATGGAGTTCCTGCCTCCTGGCTTCAGCCTGGCCCAGTCCTGGCTGTTGTGGCCCATTTGGGGAGTGAACCCGCAGATGGATGATCCATCAGTCTCTCCCTCTCTCTCCCTTTGCACCATGTGTTGCTCTCCCTTTCAAATAAATAAATCTGTTTTTTAAAGAAAAGAATTACAGTTAGCATATTGGAGCAGAAAGAGTTCAGGTTTGGACTGAGACCGACATAGGTTTGGATTCTGGCTCTGCCACTTACTAGTCCTGTGACGGTGGCAGAAGAACCTCCTGGGGGCTGTTCTGTCCCTTCTGTCTCACAGGACTGTAAGAACTCGGTGGCTTCTCTGGAAGGCCCGTACCTGACATGTCAGTGGTGCTTGATGCATTTTTGTGGTCCTTTTCTTTAAAAGAATGAAAGGAATTCTTTGGCAGGTGACAGTAATGATGTCAGACAGAAATGGTGTAAGTTTTTGCTCATTTATTTCTGATATCCTAGAAGAACCTAATGTAATGTCAGACCCTATTCTGTATTCTAGAAAATTGAAAGACTAAAATCAGAGCTCCATCTGCTGGATTTCCAGGGGAAGCAACAGAATAAGCATGTGTTCTTTTTTGACACCAAGAAGGAAGGTATGAAATGTTTGAAAGTTTCTGGGACAGCCTACCCGGATTGTCTGTGTTGTGTGTTGTCAGAGACAGACAGTGCCTTAAGGGTTGCCTTGGATTTTAGTGGAACAGTTTGATGTTGCGACTCACCTGCAGACAGCCCCAGAACTCGTCGACAGAGTTTTCAACAGACCCAGGATAGAGACTTTGCAGAAGGAAAAAGTAAAAGGAGTTACGCATCAGACTCGGCTCAAGGTAATTTTCTCCCTTGTTGTTCAGATGTGAATTCAGGGGAATCTAGATTCCTTATTTTTGCCACTTAAAATATATTAAATAATTAATATGATTACTTGTGGGGAAAAGTGCATTGTGTTTTGTCAGCAGAGTGAAAGGAGGATTTGGTGATGGGGGTGGAAACGGAAGTGGAGGAGGATTCTCAGTCTCTAAGAGCAGAGGACGTGTAATGCAGTCATCAGGGCTTAGGTCCAGGCCCTCAGATCTGGCTTGGCATCCTAGTTTAGACCGCGTTCGTTGTGTTTTTATGTTTTTAGCGGACACCAGCAGTGACAGGGGGTGACACTGGCGACTCAGGGATTTGGCAGCCAGTACTTTGACATTGACTTTCGCGATGAATACACCTATCCAAAGGTCTCTCGTGTTAACACAGAACAGCATGCCGGCTTTCTCGTGCTGCTTCCCGCCACTGTCTGTGGGCCGCGCAGAAGCTGGGCTCCTCCTCGGAGCCTTCTGGAGTTGAACTCTCACTTCTGACTGATTCATTTTGTAAAAAAAAATGCTGTCAATGTGTTTCGAGCAGACAGCTGTTCTGTTTTGATTTGAATCATTTACACCGCATCAGTTTTGCTTCCAATGTTTAATTTCACAGCAGTTTTCTCTAGCTCAGAGGCAGCTAAACTTGCTTTAGTAATATAAATACCCGTAATTAGTTTGACTATATTGGGTAATCCCATAAATTTGACAGTCTGTGCAATAAAGGGAAAACAAAAGCTGTCTGAAACCACTGCTGTGAGACTGCAGGGATTGGTGAGCCGCCGATGTCTGAGGCCAGAGATCCTCCCCGCGCCTCGCTGACACCTCCAGCTGAGGAGCTGGCCGGCGGCTGGGGTTCTTTGGCAGTGGGTTATTTCCAGTTAGCTATGACTGTGCCACTGCCCTGTCTCGAGTACTGTGGAGCCCCCACGAGGTTGGTGTTCTGAACCCCTGTCTAGAGCAGCTCACCATCGCAGCTTCTGAGAAGTTAGGAGGACCGGCATCTTGCCGCTTTCCTCTGGGAGCGTGGTTTCTTTCGATTGTTTCATTTAAAACGAAAATGATTTTTACTAAGAGATTGCTGGCAGGTGAACCGCAGAGGCAGTTAGTGTCTGACTTGCTGGGGTGCACAGTTTGTGAATGGGCTTCAGCAGTCAGAGCGTCCTCCTCCCGGCTTGGCATTTCGTTCTAATAGGTATGTGTGTTTGCACAGATGTGTGCAAACTTGCACGGACATTGATCTCAAGGAAGAACCCAAAGCTTTTGTCACTGCCTCAGAGGTTTGCGTCCCCAAAACCTAAGGACCCCACTGGTCTCAGAGGAGTGAGAAGCGGTGAGAAGTCTCGGGTCAGCTGCTGCTGAGAGAGACATTTCTTCTCTCCAAGTTCTGAGATTCCCCAGGGCAGGCCCGCTGCCTGGTGCCCTGCAGCCCTCTACTTTCGGTGTGACTTCTAGTACTGTCTCGTTCCTGCCATCGTCGGAACTGGGGCATGCACACAGAACCCGCAGCAGTTTAGCATAGGGGTGCAGGAATTCCTGGAAGTATGGTCTGGCACAGTCAGGACTCTGGCCCAGAGGAACCGTGTGTCCCTGGGCTGGGTCGTAGTTGTTTTTCTTCTCTGGGCCTTATTTTTCTGCATTTGTAAAAGGGCAGGTTTTAGTGAGGTAGTCTCCAGGTTCCACTGAGCTCTAGAATGCATTCCTAAAATGGACTAGAATGTTCTAGAATGTTCCTAAAATGGACTTTATAGTAATTGTGTTATGATTTTGGAGGGTAGCGCTGACTCGCCATATATACTTGGGCTTCTGTGGATTAAGAACCGGTTTCTTACTAAGTTTCGCCCTGTTGCTTGTTTTCCTGACAATGTCTTCTGCAGCGCATAGCTAAAGAGAGGCAGAAGCAGTATAACTGCCTGATCCAGCGCATTGAGCGAGAGAAGGAGTTGTTCGTGACTGCACAGAAAATTCAAACACGCAAAGATCTCATGGTGAGGACGGAGGCCTTTTTAAGGCCTTTTTTCTTTCCTTTTTCTTTTTTTTTTTTTTTGTGAAGGTCTTAACTGAGACTGGGTTTTAGCCGTGTGTAAATCAACCCCAGTGAAAATGTCTGCTCCTCAGGGGCAGTGGGGTGAGCGGTGTCTGTTACTCTGACAGTGCTGAAATGTTCCTTGATTAAGAAGGTAATAAGGGGGTTATTAGTCAGTGCCTGGGAACAGCAAAGGGGAGGATCGGGTAGCATGTGAACTTTATAGCTTATGAGCAGCTCCTGTAACATTTAGACAGGTTAACAAAACAGTGCATGCCACTCGTTGGTGTTTAAAAATAGACAACATTGTGTAGTCAAATAGCAGCGCTGAGGACCATCCGATGCCTCTTCGTGTTATTATCATTCCTCTAAATGTCAGATGCTTTAGCCCTGCACATCATTTAGGTCAGCCTTTCTCAACTGGGGTTCCGTGAGGGAATTCAAATTACGGTTTTAAATAAAACCATGTCGAGTGCCTTTCCCAAGGATGGGCGCGCTCGCGCCGCCCTGGATGCCCGAGGGGGACGTTCCTGCCCTGCACACGGTGGGCGTTCTGTGTCTGAGCAGGGCTGAGCTGGAGGCTCTCGCATGGCGAGTTTGCTGGCCTTCCTGTTTCATTAAACCCTCCCATTTACCCATCCCCTTTTACTCTTGTAGGATAAGACGCAGAAGGTGAAGGTGAAGAAAGAAACAGTGAACTCCCCAGCTATTTACAAATTCGAGAGTCGTCGGAAGCGCTGACGTGTTCTGGATGCGCCTTGTCGTTCCGCACTGAAAGTCGCTGGTGACTTCACGTTCCGCCAGTCCGCACGCCGTGCTTCCCCTTTGTAAGCACAGGTGATCGTCAGGCTGACAATTGATGTCTTTCTGTGAACATTGACGCCTCTGTCGTTTTTTGGGCTGTGAAATCAGTCCTATTTTTATATATTCAAATCTCTTCATTATGAAAGGTGTACCATCTCATTACAGTAAGTTAGGAAAGTAGATTAGTTCGTCCCTAACCCTGATACTTCTTCAAGAACAGCAGCTATCTGTCTCACACTTAGCGTGCTGGGAGCCAGAGCTGCAGCCATGTGAGCATTCTAGTATGCGTCCTCCTTTGGTAAAGCTGCACTTCAGTTCTTGTTTGTTTCTGTGGTAGTTGTAAACATTTTTATATTGGAATTTTTAAAATAGTTCTTTCCTATTTTTGTTATCTCACTAAAGCTTTAAAAAATAATATATGCTCATGGTAAAAGTTAAACTATTTTTAATGATTGTATAGTTTTTTTTTTTTTAAAGATTTATTTATTTATTTGAAAGGTAGAGTTACAGAGAGAGAGAGGGAGTGAAGAGAAGGAGAGATGTTCTATCTGCTGGTTCACTCTCCAGATGACTGCAATGGTCAGAGCTGGGCTGATCCGAAGGCAGGAGCCAGGAACTGCTTCTGGGTCTGTCACATGGGTGCAGGAACCCAAGCACTTGGGTCATCTTCTGTTGCTTTCCCAGGTGCATTAGAAGTGGAGCAGCTGGGACAGAACCTGTGCTCATGTGGGATGCTGGCACCACAGGTAGCAGCGTTACGTGCTGTGCCACAGCTCTGGCCCCTGACTGTATAGTGTTTATCTAGTGAGTTGGTAGCCTCCTTCTTTTACTGGACATTCAGGTGGTTTTGTAAGTTGTCCAAGGAGGATTTTCTTTTTTTTCTTAGAATTTATAGCTGCAGATAGGAACCCTCGGAACTAGAAACTCACAAGGGTAGTACTTCTATGTTAATGAAGCTCAGATCAGAATAAAAGCCCGATTCTGTTCCTGCCCCACTCGCGATCCCAAAGCCATGAATGAATTGGCACTCCACATCGCCCTGGTGATACAGACCCCGGGTCGTGTGGGGCAGCATGCCTCTCTTCCCAGGGTCCCTGCCTTCCCTGCCCTGCCCACGTGGGGATCGTGGCTGAGGCAGGCAGGGCAGGACTGAGCATGCTCAGAGCAGGGAGCAAAGTTCTGGGAGGCTCGCTCACACCTCACTGCCTGGAGGGGGAACAGCTTTGCTTGGACCTGACACTGACAGATTATGACTTTTTAATTGTTAATAAGTGCCCACGAATGCTAGGTTCCCATACAAAGCCAAGAACGAAAGCCTATGTCCTTAGGGTGTGTACCTGGTGGGATTCAGATCTGGGCAGCCTGGATAACAAGAAGGACCAGGGAAACAGAGTAGTAGCTTCTGCCTGCAGGAAGGAAGCCTCTCAGGCTGTGTGTGAACACCATTCTGGGCTGATACGGAGCTCAGCTGATGCTAATAGTATTGGGAGACTGGAGTCCCAAGCCAGGAAAGGGACAGGTGACGGGGGTGGTGGAGAGGAGCGAGTGAGCCGGCCCCTGTTCTGGGCTCTTACAGCTAGCTGCTGCTGCTCTCACTGTCTCTTGCCCTTGCTGGGTAGGAAGGTGGGGGAGGGTAAGGAATTCGTATACCAACCGCCTTCTCGTGAAGTGTACACCCACACAAAGGTACACATACTTCATTGGCTCTCATGTTAACAGACACACAAAGCACGTGTAACTCAGGCCTCATAAACAGGTATGGGAACACCTACACACCCTCTGGTACGGAGACAGAAATAGTGATACTTAAAGAGGCCTGTGCATGGGCCAAACAGAGCAGGGAAGTCCATGTTTTTGGAGAACCCTAACTTCCAGGCAGGAGGTAACCAGAGACCTCTGAGGGGACTCCTAGAGCCCCCAGGTGTCCTGAGTTGCTGTTGCCCTGAGGGTCATCTGGGCCCAAGGATTCTGAGGGGCAGCGGTTGACTGCCTTCTGATTAACCCAAGACGGGCTCCTGGCTCCTGGGCTCTGAGAACAGGGCAGAGTTTTGGTGCTCAGGGGGACCCTGGCTCCTGGCTCCTGGCTCCTGGCTCCTTGGGAAGGGGAGTGGGTATTGTTTCCATAACGCCTACCCCCCCTGGGCCCAGGCAGTGGTTTGGGCTGCTGGCATACCACTCTGGCCGTGCTGGGGGGCTGTGGGCATCCTGTGGAGACGGAGAGTATTGGTAGGAGTACTCATTTGATTCAGCTTTGAAGCAGCAGCTGCATGGGTGACATGGAGCCCCTGGGTCTGTCCCAACAGAATCCGTGGGCCTGGGTCAGTTTTAGGCCATTGCCACATCTTAGGGCCCTTCTGACCAAAGCAGGAGGCTGGCAAGCCCTGGCCTTCCTCTTCAATAACATAATCTTACTCTGACTTTGCACTTTCCCAAGGAGCCGGTTCCTAGGGACAGGGTGGAAAGGGCCCAGCAGGTGGAGCTACTGCCCCTTCCCTGAGCTCTGTTCCCAGAGCTGGTGTCCACCCACTTAGCACACTTTGTTGCTTCTGTGGGGGCTCAGGATGCATCTCTTTATTGACTTAGCCACAGGGGAGAGCTCTGCCAGAAGGATTATTCTCCCCCTGAGCTCGAGGCGAGTGTGGCCTGGAGACCAGGGCTGGCGAGAAAGGGCGTTCCCTTCCCGTTTCTAGGGAGGACCACTCAGGGAGTGTCAGGGTCTTTCCTGGGGCTCTGGCATTGAGCCCCAAGTTTCCCAGAGAGTGATTGTCCAGGACTTGGTGGGCATCTCCCCTGCAATTCTGAGTGTACGTGTAGCTCACCGTCTTCCCATGCTGCTGGCTGTGGGGCGCTGGCCAGGGAAGGCAGCCAACCGACACCGACTTGCTCTGCCTACCTGTGGAGGCCGGTGAGGCCAGGGCCTGTTGTGACTTGAGACAGTGAGGCAAGTGGGGGTGTGGTGCTGCGCACCCTTCCTCCTCCAGCCCGCATGGCCTGCCAGTTCCCGGAGCCTCATGCCCTGGGTGTTGGGAAGGGCGGGCCAGGCCTGGGGTAGGAGTCCTGGCCCGAAGCCCCAGGAGAGTGAAGGAACTGGGGCGGACCTGAACCGCGTCTTAGGGCTGAGCTGGCAGGCTTCTTGGGCTTGCGCAGCCACCGCGCAGGGTCAGGGGGTGCGTGCTCGCTAGCCAGCCAGGTCACGGGGCCTCCCTGCTGGCAGGGCTCCCGCTGGCTCCATGGCTGTGTCGGCAGAGGCGCAGGGAAGGATCCCGGAGGAGCAGTGAGACAGGCCGAGCTTCCTGGCCCTAAGTCCGCCGCTTTGGCTTCAGAGACTAGAGAGCTGCTCAGTGTGTGCTTCTGCTTGCTCTTTAACCTGCTCTGATCCGGGGAAACAGTGCAAAACCCCCAAACACAAAAACAGAACAACCCAAAACCCTGCTGCTGCGCACTGCGGAAGCCCCCTGTTCCTCCTCTGGGATCCACCCCCCTACATTTGGGAAGTTCTGGCCCCTCGTGTCTGCTAACTGAGCTGCATTCCTAGCGCTCCCTGCACATCTGGTCCACTGCACAGCCCCCGTGGTGGCGATGCCACATCGTCTCGTGTGGGAGCAGGGCCGCCAGGGCCCGCTGTGTGGCCTGCAGCCTTGGCCCCTGTGGGGTGGTAGAGGCTGGCCCAGAGCAGGGCCGAGGAGCTAGCTGTTTCTAGGCAGGTGGTATTTATCTAGGCGACTGCGTGTTTGGGGGTGGCAAGGAAGCCCTTTCCTCTTCCTGTGTTGTCTGTCACCTGATGGCCTTGCTCACGTCATCACTGAAGCAAACCACGGTGCCCAGAGACACCTGGGCAGCCCCCCTCCCTGAATCAGCCTGACTCATTTACAGCTTTCTCCCAGTTACCCCAGAGGCTTCTCTGAGGTGACAAAGTGGGGGGTGGGGGTTGGTTTCGGGTTTCGGGTTTTCACATTACTGGGTGGAAAAAAAAAGCTTCTGTAGCAGAAACGACCTGTCCCAGAGCACTGAAGTTCTGCCCCCCCTTCATCTGCTCAGACCCTGCGACCAGGGGGGAGGGGTTAAGAGCAGGGGGTTGGAGCCAGGCTGAGCATTAGGGACAGCCCCTTTGGAGGCGGGCGGCAGCTCCCACCATCATGATGCAAGACAGCGGAGGACGTTTCTGGGTCCTGTGGTCTCCAGTGCCCAGGGCGGAAGACAGTCAGGATGAGGAGGGGCCATCTCCCATCCTTAGCTAAGTTAATCTCAGGGGGTCTGGGACAAGCGGTCCACTCAGGGCTCCGAAGGTGGGGCACTAGGTGGAAAGGTGCAGGGCCCGCCTGGCATAAGGAGCCTGAGGGTGGCACCTTCTGTTACTAGTTGGTAGCATTATAAACCACCCCCTGCCACAGGGCAGGTAGCCCCCACGGCAGAAGCCAGTGGTGGTGGATGGACTTTCTAGTCTAAGCCAGGCCTCACTAGACAGAGGGGCTGTGGAGGGGTTAAGAGTGTGTTTGTGTGTGTGCATAGGCCTGACCATGTTGGACCATTCTTGGGGAGCCGTAAAGAGGAAACTAACCGTGGAGCCAATGGCTCTTAGAGGCACACTCAAGTTTGCCAGGTAGGGGTAGCAGGTGCTCAGGCCCCTGACACTGCCCACCTGCCCCAGGGTCCCGAAGCTGCCTCAGTTATTTCTCAGGTGAAGAGGGTGGTCCCTGGGGTGGGAGTCTCTACTGCAGCTGGAGCCTGGCCTGCTTGACGCAGACCCCCTGCCAGGTCCCCAGGGCCCAGGGCCTGGGCAGCAGCTCCTCCCAGAGGATGCGCCCGTTTATTATGCGCTCCTGCTCCCGCACTGCTCAGGCAGGCAGCGGCCTTCATTAGTGGAGGAGCTGGGGTCTGTTTTGGCTGCCTCATCAGCATCAGTGAACTGCGTCCCTGCGAGATTTGATACAATTTAATTAACCTAATTAAAAGCTCTGATTGCAGAGATGATTGGGGTAGCGCCAGCAGCGACTGCATATTTATAATGAGCTGCAAGGTGTGGGACCGCAGCCAAACGCCACGCATCCTAATGAGCGGGAGCCGGGAGCC